CTTGCTGCGCAGCTCAGACCCATACCAATCTTCTTGTCTCAGCCTCCCCAGCATTGGAATTACAGGTGTGCGCCACCATGCCCAGTTTCAGTGGCAAGCATGGCACAAGGTCTAACCCAGGTCCTTGTGCTTGCCAGGCAGGCATTCAAGCTGCTGAACTGTCTCCTCGGCCCTCTTGCCCCTTTTCATTAAAACACGTACCTGTAAAATCATGCCGTAACACGATAATCCTAAGCACTGCAAGGGAGCTGTACAACCACTGAATTTAAAACAGGTGACCTGTAAAGAGAACATTTGTTAATTCTGCCTTTTCTGTACATCTGTAGAAGAATTTGACATTCCAGTGTAATGGAAATAAGCAAGAATGTTTTCCTATGCATTCTGATTAATACTGTGTTCACAGGTGGGGGTTACAGAAGTAAAAAACAAAGCGTTTGCCCTTAAGGATCTCACAGTTCAGTAGAATAAAATATACACATGTGAAGTTGCTATATCAATTCCTGTCAGAATATGTATCAACATTAAAAGAACTGAACAGCCTCTTTCCACCTGGCACTGGGCAATGGGCATCTCTCAGGACAACTGGAACAAGTGTCCCAAAACCAGGGGCAAAAGAAAGCCTACCACAAGAAGTGGAAGTATGAGTCGGGGCGCCCTGCTGCCAACACTGTGGGTGGCACCCGCCGCATACACACGGTCCAAGTTCCAGGAGGCAGCAGTAAGTACCAAGCCCTGAGGCTAGATGTGGGAAACTCCTTGCAGGGCTCCGAGTGGCAAACTCGAAAAACAGGGATCATTGCTGTTGTTTACAAGGCTTCCAGTGTGAGCTGGCACCCACCAAGACCCTGGTGAAGAACTGCATTGTGCTCCTTGACAGCTTGTGGTGGTACGAAATCACTACGCACTGCCCCTGGGCCGAGGGGGGGATGGACTCCTGAAGGGGAGGAGACTTTAAACAAAAAATGATAAAGAAAAAATTCAAAAGAAGTATGATGAAAGGAAAAAGAATTCCAAAATCAGCAGTCGTCTAGAAGAGCAATTATAGCAGGACCAGCTTCTTTTCTTTTTCTTTTTTGGTCTTTGTACTGGGAATTGAACTCACGACCTCATGCTTGCTAGGCAGGCCTGTGTCACTGAGCTACATCCCCAGCACAAGCTTCTTGCTTGCATTGCTCAAGTCCAGGCCGGAGGAGGCGAGCAGATGGCCACGTGCTAGAAGGCAAGGAGCTGGAGTGGCAGCTGAGGCAAATCCAGGCCTAGAAAGGCACATAAACCTTCCCCCCATAATAAAGGTGTTTATTGTTCTAAAAAATAATAATAAATAAAAATAAAAGAACCAAGAGGACAGCGAGATAGCTCAGCAGACTAAAGCACAAGCGCCTGGACCCGGGTTCCATCCCCAGCACCACCTGCCCCGCCAGCCCCGCCCCTAGGGCAGGCTGAGCCGCCAGGGTCCAGGCGGTGGAATCTAGGCAGGGTGGCGCACACCCGCAATCCCAGCCCCGGGGAGGCTGTAAAGCAGGAGGACCTGCACGAGTCCGAGCTGCGTAGTGAGACCCTGCAACAACCAAATACATTAAAAGAAAAAGAAGAAGAATTGAATAAATACTATATCAGACAATATGAAAACAGGGAAAATACGAATTTGGAAATGATCAAAAGCCTTGTGAGGGAACCATGAAAGAAGCAGAGCCTTAGAGCAGGAATCGGATGTGCTGAGTGAAAGTGCCGGCAAGGGGAGCGATAGCATGAGACTGGCCGGGTGCGGAACGCGCTGCGCCTGAGAAAGGTGTGGCCCGCGGGCCTGGGCTGGGCTCGGAGGAGAGAAAGTAGGGCCGGCGCTAGCAGAGCCTGACTGCAGGCTTTGGTCCCTGAGTCTTGTTTTCTCAAGGGCAGATTCTGCTGTTTGAGTAGCACTGGGAAGTAAATGCAGAGCCCTGCACAAGGTCGGCAAGCGTGCTGCCACTGAGCCACACCCCAACCCTTTGGATTTTTAAATTTTGAGACAGGGTCTTGGTAAATTTCCTGGTCAGCTTGGAATTTGCCGTCCTCTTGCCTCAGCTTCCTGTGTACCTAAAATTACAGATGTGTACCACCATAACCAGCCTCTGAAAGATTTTAAACAAGAAAGTTATTTGGGAAAGGGAAGAGACTTGAATGTGTTATGTAGATGTAGAAATCCTGACGATGAAAATAACCATCAAGTATTGGAAACACATCCTAATAAAAATAAAAATTAATCAGTGTGGGGCTGGTGAGATGGCTCAGTGGTCTAAAGCACCTACTTAGAACAAACTTAGCAAAGCACAGGGACCGCGGTTCAATCCCCCAGCACCAGCCGCGCCCCCTGGTGGGCTGAGCTGGCCATACACACACACACACACACACACACACACACACACACAATAAATAAATAAATAAATAAATGTTTAAAAAAAAAAAGGTTAAGTAAGAAATACTTCTCTAAGGGCCCACCGGATAGCTCAGCGGACTAAAGTACTCTCCTAGGCAGAGCTCAGCTGCCAGGGTTCGGTCCCTGGTGTGCCGCGCCGGCCCTGCCCCCTGGGGTGAGCTGAGAGGGCGATTGAGACTGGGCATGGGGACATGTGCCTGTAATCCCAGCACTTGGGAGGCTGAAAACAAGAGAATAGTGTCACTAGAGTCCAATCTATGTAGTGAGACCCTGTAGATCCAGTACTAAACACACACAAAAAAAAAAAAGAAAGAAAGAAAGAAAGAAAACAAAAGAAAGAAAGAAAGAAAAAATAAATACTTCCCTACTACGTATGGTAATATACACCTGTACTGGCAACACTTGGGGAAGCTGAGGCAGGAAGGCTGCCCAGAGTTTGAGACCAGCCCGGGCCTTAAGATTGTGTCTTAAAAAACAAACCAAATTCAACCAAACAAAAACTCTTTTATGTTTTCTGTACACTTTTTTTTTAATATTTATTTTTATTTATTACATTTATTTATTGTGTGTGTTTGTGGCCAGCTCAGCCCACCAGGGGGCGGGGCTGGCTGGCATGTGGTGCTGGGGATTGAACCGGGTCCCTGTGCTTTGCCAAGCTTGTTTCAAGTAGGTGCTTTAGACCACTGAGCCATCTCTCCAGCCCTCTGTACACTTAAATAATCAATTTTAACATTTTTTTTTTCAGTACTGGGCATTGACCCAGGAATTTTGCACTGAGCTACATCCTCAGACATTTTTTATTTCTTTATTTTAAGGCAGGGTCTCACTAAATTGCCAAAGTTGGTCTCAAACTCTTGATCCTTCTGACTCATGCTCCTGACTACTGCGTTTGTAGGCAGCACCACCATGTCCAGCTAAGAAACTACTTCATTTTATTTTACTTAAAAAAAAAAAATCTTTTAAAAAATATTTATTTATTTATTTATTATTTATTTGGTACAGGGTCTTGCTACATGGCTCAGACTTGTAGTGATCCTCCTGTCTCAGCCTCCCCAGTGCTGGAATTACAGGTGTGAGCCACCATGCCTGGTTTTGGTGGCCAGCACGGTACACCCAGGGTTCCACGGCTGGCATGGCATGTACCAGGGATCGAACCCAGGTCCTCGCGCTTGCCAGGCAGGCACTTAGAATGCTGAGCTATCTCCCCAGCCCTGTTTTTGTTAAAAATATCTAAGTCTCCACTTCAAAACTTCCTCAGGATTCCTATGTGGGTAAAAAACACATTATACATACTATTTTTTCCACACATGATATCTATAATAAAGTTTAATTTATAAATTAGGCATACTGAGAGACTAATAACAACAGTAAATAGAACAATGCCAATATATAATTGCCAACATTATTACTTTTACATTTTGGAGAACATTACGAAGTAAAATAAGGGTTACTTGAACACAAGCACTGTAATTCTGCCACACAGATCAAATAATCCAGATAGTAACTGATTGGCAGGGGTAGCACATATAATGTGACATGCTGGACAAAGGGACAATTCTCACCCCAGGTGGGAAGGAAAAGGCTGACAAGAGATTTCACATCAGACTCATAGTGATCCACCTGCTTACAGCCTCCCAAGTCTCAATTGCCATCTCGGCGCACCCCAGGGGTGGCCCAGGGATCGAATCCCCAGCACCTGTGCCTGCTTGCAGGTGCTTTAATCTGCTGAGCTATCTGGCTGGCCCTGGAGCTTCATATTTAATATTTTGAGACTGCAGTTGACTGTGGTGAACTGAATTGTGGCTGAGAGAGGACGATACTGCTGCAGCATCTCATAACGTTCTCCTTCTCCTTTTTTTTTTTTTTTTGTGGAACCTGGGACTGAACTCAGGTCCTTGCACTTGCCAGGGAAGCGCTTATTCTACTGAGCCATCTCCCCGGCCCCTATAACTTCTGACTTAGAACATCATGATCAGTTTTTAGGTCTAATTCATGGCATTCTATTAATGTAAGATATATTTCAAATAAGTATAAAACCATAGCAGTAAAATATCTTTTCTAGGAGGCAAGCCTACGCACGGTCTGGAAGTGTGAGCTTACTTCTGAGAGTATCCTGTGAGTGCACCTCAGTCTTTCCTTGGTGGGCAGCAGCAATGTGCATCTTTTAAGTAGCACGCCTGAAAAAGAGATGGAAGGAGTGATGACGCGATTCCGCTGAGCACGCCCATAGCACAGACTGCTGTGTCCACAGTGACCTGCAACACGGTTTCGGGTTTTGAGGCCTCCCTTTGCCGTCCTGGGGATTGAACCCAGAACCTTTGAACTGAGCTATATCCTCAGTCCATTTTTTAGTTTTTAAAACTTTGATACAGGAGCCAGGGAGATGGCTCAGTGGAATAAGTGCTTCCCTGGCAAGCTCAAGGGTCTGAGTTCAATCCCTGGTTCTGCAAAAAATAAACAAATAAATAAATAAATAAATAAATAAAACTTTGATAGAGTCTCTTGAAGATGCTAAATTGCCCAGGTGAGAATCCTCTTGGCTTGGCCTCCCAAGCAACTGAGATCACAGGTGTGCACCACCTCACCTGAGTGTGATAGAGGTTGTGTTTGGATTTGATTTTTGAGACAGGGCCTCACTCTGTAGTTCAGGCTGACCTCAAGCTCACTATGTAGCTCAGGATGGCCTCAAACTCGTGGTGGTCCTCCCGCCTCAGCCTCTGAAGTGCTGGGATCACTGTTGTGCACCACCACACCCACTTATGACATAGTTTTTATAGGAACTTTTGAGAGGAAAAGTACAAAATACATAGACTACACGTAGTTCATCAAATGAAGCACATCCACCTAAATAACCTGACACATTTGTAAAAAAGTTGTGTAATTGATACTGTTAGGATACATGTGGAAAGTACTTAGATTTTTTGGGGAAAGTATTTAGATTTAAAAAGATACAATAATAAGATATAAAAATATGCTAGGGAAATTGTTTTTGTTCCATAGAAGAAAGAGTATCTTTTGAAGCTATCCTCATGTCCGTAAAGGAAAATATTTTATAGAAGGTTAATGGAAGATAATGGGAAAAGAAGCCATGCGTGCTGGGTGTGGTGGCGCAGGCCTGTAACCCCAGTGCTCTGCAGGCCGAGGCAGCGGCAGGAGGATCACTGTGAGCTCCATCCAGCCTGGGCGACACAGCGAGACCAGGACCAGCCTGAACTGCACAGTAAAAAAGAATCTGGGTGTGATGGTGCACACTTGTAATTGCAGTACTTGGGAGGCTGACTAGGAGGAGTGTGATTTTTGAGGCCACACCCTGGGCCACACAGTGAGTTCAAGGTCAGCCCAAACTATATAGAGAGAACCTGTCTCAACAGGCAGGCAGGCAGGCAGGCAGGGAGGGAGGGAGGGAGGGAGGGAGGGAGAGAGAGAGAGAGAGAGAGAGAGAGAGAGAGAGAGAGATTTTGTATTCTTCTCTTCAAATACAACCAATTAAAGTCATAAGTATTTAAACTTTCAGAGACTGTCATTTTTGCTAACAGAAAGCATCAAATTTAGATTAACTATCTCTTCTTTCAAAGATGTCCATTTATAAAATTTGCATGTCAAGAATTTATAGGATTTTGCAATCAGACATTTCAAAAAAGGAAACAAAAACAAACATCCAATTTCTCAGTAAGATGTGACTTAGGAAAAATAAAAGATGGGACCTAAACTGCAGCAACCGGAAACGCGTGCCTTGTTCTCCCCGATCACTCTGCTTTCCTAAAATGGCGACACGCTGTGACTAGTCCTTTAAAGACAAATGTTCTTGAACTAAAATCAGATACATAGTAGGGAAGTATATGCCTGAATATCATGACTTTACTTCAGCTTTTTATCTTTTTTGCATTCACTTTTTTACATAATAATTACATAATTCTGAAAAATCCATAGGAATTGAATTTATTTTTAGAAGTTGCTATATTTGGGCAACGTATGACTAGAGTCAGTTTTTAAGCGTAAGCCCTCCTCATTTTTGTACAGGAAAAGACATTTTGGGTGCTTGTTTTTTCTTTAATGTATTTGGTACGGGGCCTCACTATGCAGTTCGGACTCTTAGTGATCCTCCTGTTTTCAGGCTCCCCAGCGCTGGGATTACAGGCTTATTACAGGCATGCGCCACACCTGGACTCAGTGTCCGGCTTGGGGTGGGGGGCGTTGAAGGCAGGGAGTCGGCAAAGCACTGATGGGGGGTGAGCTATCTCACCAGCCCTGGGTGTTGGTTTTTCAGTTGAATTATTTTCTTTTTGTATTTTGGCATCCAGTCCCATCACATATGCTGGGGCATTGTAAGCCATAACTGTAGTTAGTTGCCCTTTCTAATGTAAAACTCCTACTTGTAGGGCCGAGGATGTAGCTCAGTGGCACAGTGCCTGCCTGGCAAGGTGAGGCCCTGGGTTCAATTCCCAGTACAACCCCCCCAAAAAAAATCCACCAACAACAAAACCCCCCTCCTATTTGAAAAGGTTGCAATTTACCATAAAGCCATTGGCTTTAATTAAAAAAACAAACCAAAAAAAACAAAAAAACAAAAAAACAAACAGGGCCTGGAGAGATAGCTCAGTTGAATAAGCGCTTCCCTGGCAAGCGCAAGGGTCTGAGTTCAATCCCCAGTTCCACAAAACAACAGCAACGACAACAAAAAAACAAAACCCACACGTGTTCTGCTACAGCTTGTAGAGTCCAACTTATTTAATTTATTCCCAATACATCAGAGCTGCATTCAATGTTCTTTCCACAGGGGCCATCTTCTCTGTTTTACATGAAAAAGTAAATTAAAATGCTCAGTCTTTGAAGTAGAAGACTCTGAAAATGTTATTTTAATGCCTGAAAACAGGAGCAGATCAGATAAGAATGATGACATGAGAAATTGGTAAGACGGCCCAACATTTACCTGATGCATCAATTGCAAACCAGGTGTCTACTTCACAGTTAAATGGGGGGGGGGGGACTGCCCATTAGCTCAGTTGTTTAAGTGACTGCTTAAACAAAGCAATCAGGATGGTGTGGTTGATCCCCAGATTCTCAAGCAAGACCTGCCCTGAAGGCATCCTGAGTCAGCAAGAAAAAAAACCAAAAAACCAAAAACAAAACACTTCTAAACTTTTAGGGGCTGAGGAGATGAAAATAAGCGCAGTGAAATAAGCGCTTCCCTGGCAAGGGTAAGGACCTGATTTCAATCCCTGGTTCCAAAAAAAAAAAAAAAAAAAGTTAAATGGAAGATAAAAATCATTTTATGAATAAAGCCATTTTTTAAAAAATGCTAGCCATTGCTGACTGGGTGTGGTGGCACATGCTTCCCATCTCAGCCCTTAGGAGGCTGAGGCAGGAGGATTGCCTCGTTCAAGGCTGACCTGGGCTATACAGTGAGTTCAAGGCCAGCCTGAAGGTTACCAGGGAGATGCTCAGTAGAATAAGCACTTGCCTGGAAGTGCAAGGGCCTGAGTTCAATCCCCGGTTCAAAAAAAAAGGCCAGCCTGAACTATAATAGCAAGACTTTGTCTCAAAAAACCAAACCAGGGCTGGAAATATAGCTCAGCAGGACAGTGCCTACCTAGCAAATCTAGGCATTAAGATCAATACATATTTTTAAATTTTTTATTCACATAATTCTCATTTTCTCTCCCTCTCCCTCTGTGCGTGCGTGCGTGCGTGCGTGCGTGCGTGTGTGTGATGCCGAGGATGCCATACAAGGCCCTGGCATGCTAAGCAAGCACTCCGCCTCTGACCTACCTCCCCAAGCCCATATAATTGTCATAATGGCTTGTTTGTTTAAGCAACTGAGACTTGGTCAAGAAAAAAATAAAAAATTCTTTTAGGTTTAGACCACAAAACAAGATCTATAATTCAATTGGTGATTTTTGAAAAACAGATATTTGTATTAAGAAATAACAAATAAGGACTGGGGAGATGGCTCAGTGGAATAAGCTCTTCCCTGGCAAGCGCAAGGGCCTGAGTTCAATCCCCGGTTCCACAAAAAAAAAAAAGAAAAAGAAAAAGAAAAAGAAATAACAAATAATGATCACACTTGGTTAAAAACTTTACTAAACCTAGTTATAAATATTGAAGTCAGTGACATTATACTCAGATTAAATGTCATTTCAAGACAACAACCTGCAATGTATTAATTATTGTAACTGTCATACTAACCTGTCTTGAAACTGTTTCATTGTTATTTTATATTTTTTTCATTAAAATGAAAAAATAGACAATATAGCAACTATTGTTAATTAGCTATCCCTGTTTTGAAAATCTGTTACATATGTATTGTATATTATCCTGTTTCTGTCATTTTTTGTTTTTGCTTCTGTTTTTACTCTTCAAATTAAAATCAAATCAAATTAAAAAAACTCTAAAAAAGATTAAATGCTTTCATTTGGTCCTTTTTTTTTTTAATATTCCACTGTTTATTTATTTATTTATTTACATTTATTTATTTTGTGTGTGTGTGGCCAGCTCAGCCCACCAGGGGGCGGGGCTGGCTGGCATGTGGTGCTGGAGGATCGAACCGCGGTCCCGCTGCTCTGCCAAACTTGTTCCAAGTAGGTGCTTTAGACCACTCAGCCATCTCTCCAGCCCATCATTTGGTCTTATTAAAGAGACTTCAAATATATTTCCATGTAGTTATAGTTTTAGATTTACTCTCTTAACAGTAGGTATTCTTGTGCTACTAAAAGACAATCTTCACTTAACTCACTGTGCCTTTAGTTAAATGGCAACTTTAAAAAAAATTTTTTTGAGACAGGGTCTCATTATGCAATTCAGGCTGACCTTGAACTCACTTTGTAGCCCAGGTTGGCCTTGAACTTCGAACTCACACTGATCCTCCTGCCTCAGCCTCCCAAGTGCTGGGATTATAGACCTGTGCCACCACATCCCGCTCTTTTTTCTTTTTCTTTCATTCTTTTGTTCTTGGTCTTTTTCTTTTTCCTCTGTGTGTGCATTTCTTTGCTTTTAGACAGGGTCTCACTATATAGTCCAGGCTGCTCCTGCCTCAGCCTCCTGAGTTCTAGAATGATGGGTGTACAATATCACCTGGCCCTTACACCCATCTTTTTTTTTTGTGGAACGAGGGATTGAACTCAGACCCTTGCGCTTGCCAGGGAAGCGCTTATTCCACTGAGCCATCTCCCCGGCCCCTCCTTACACCCATCTTTAAAGATAGTTCAAATGCAATTTAATGTCATATGTCTTTGTGATTTCATGTGCATATGGTGTTACTTATGCTTACTGTCCAGGTAGTTCACTAGTTCAAGAAACTGTGTTTTATATACTTTCCATCCTGTGGATCTAATGAGTTTTATCTCATTTCACTTTCCCTTTCAAACATAATCTAGTCCTTAAAACAAGAAAATAAGTTTAAACACACTACTGCAGATCGCAGAGGGTCATTTATTCTCTTATCCAAGACTATGGTTTTCTTTTTTTTAAAACACTACACATTTAGTAATAAATCATTATATAATTAAATTGACTTTATCAAAGGAAATTCTGTATAATCTTTCTTCCACTGATCTGTGGTCATTTATATCTTTCAACCCACTTATTGATTTTATTTTTCCTACAGTGCTAAAATAAAACTCTAATCTAAACTTGACAAGTGACACCAATTTAACTATGAACCTATTTTATAATTAACCAAAGCATGCAATAAAACTAAATATCAAGATTATGTTGTAAGAAAAATAGGTAAGGGGCCAGGGAGATGGCTCAGTGGAATAAGTGCTTGCCTGGCAAACACAAGGACCTGAGTTCAATCCCAGGTTCTGAAAAAAAAAAAAGAAAAGAAAAGAAAAGAAAAGAAAGAAAGAAAGAAAGAAAGAAAGAAAGAAAGAAAGAAAGAAAGAAAAATAGGTAAGGGACAGTTTTTTGTGTGTGGTATCAGCGATCGAACTTGGTACCTTACACTTGCCAGGCAAGCACTTATGCCACTGAGCTATATCCCCAGCCCCAGGACAGTTGTTAAGGGAATTTCTTCACATATAAGAGCAAACATATGAGAAATTGGCACACCTTAGGGACATTCTGTATTCTACTGGCTTTAATGAACTATTTAATAAAATCCTTTAACTTACTTCTTTCCTTGGT